TTTGAAAAATCTGTAAAAGTGTAACTACCCTGTCATTAATAACACAATAAAAGCTTTATTCTAAACGCTCCGTTTATTTTTATGAGAAATTCCGAGAGATTTTGCGTAAACCACAGACATGAGTAAAAGCTTCGGTCCGCTCATGCGTACTACTGGTGACGACAGAACATGTTAGTAATAATTCCTAGAATTTCTGATTTTTTTAGGTGTCATGTTTATACATCTGGCTTACGTAAAAGAGTTTAAATTCAAAGGAGAATAACTTGATAAAATATCTCCGGACAACAAACAGTGTTAACTGTGGACAAAAGCTCGAAATTTCTGAGAAACATTTTCGATTCCATCATCAGAGGATTATGTAGTTCGCCGTAAAAACTTCAAGTCCTTTATGAGAATACCTTAATTTGAATAATAACTTGTTTCTATACGGCCTTAAATCTGCTGAGCGAAAAACAGTTCTTTCTTTATTACTCCATCTTTTGTCATGGGTCCTATATGTAGTTCACATCCTTTATCACAATATGGCGACAAAGTTAAAATAGGCAAAAATTAACCTACCCAATAGTAACACAATACAATTAAAAGTAAATTACTTAACCAAAATTCTTAGAACAAGTAAAAAAAAAATTAATTAGTCTTGACGAATTAAAAATGACAATTAAGCCAAAACATTTGGAAGCTGACGATTTAAAAAAATTGTATTACTAAATGAATTAATTTGTAATTGTACGTTTTAAATCTATACACAATGAAATAATAGCTTAGATAAGTTGAGGTAATTAATTTTCTGAACCAGTAGGACCATGGTGGCAGCACTAGTCCTAAGAAACAAGATTTTTACTATAAACATAAGTAAACACATTTTAGATAATGATATTAAAATGGTAATACTGTGTGCGGATGATTTTTACTATAAACATAAGTAAACACACTTCAGATAATGATATTAAAATGATAATACTGTGTGCGGATAAAAACTGCAGTCATGTAGCTGAGGAAAAGATTACTAACGGACCGCTTCGGAAACCGCAATGGTCCTTCGGTTGGCATAAAGACAAGTTTCTACACAAGCTGAGCTCCTCAAGAAGAATTCTCGTCATGCAGTTGGTTGATACATAATTTTAAATTTAAATTTATTTGAATTTTCAGTTCAGCTGAGTTCATTAAATTTCATTTCGTTGTTTTTGATATTTAATATGCAGACAGCCCTTAGGTGTGTGCTTTCTGATGTAGTAAGGATCCAGGGTGTTGTTAAATTTTCAATACATTATTCCAATAACCTCGATCTACGCAAATCATATTTCAACATCTATCACGAAACATAAGTAGCTATGGTAAATTATGGATCATAAACATTTAAAAAAACATCGACTACAACATCTAGTAAGTCAAAGGCAGCATCTTTCTGTTAAGTCTGAAGACATCCTCCAAGAATTTCTGTGTATGCTCAGATTAATTAGTGGCTTCATATTAAAGCTCCCCGTAAGAGTTACTTTCTGCTTGTAAACTAAGTTAATTTAGCCGTATCTTTGCTGTTACCACATACATACAAAATTGATCAAAACAGAAGCAGTTCACTTAGAACCTAAGTTACACAAAATAAAACTTGGTTGACATTAATTAAAAGTACCTCAAACCACAAAAAATGCTTTCTTAAGAAATTTGTTTACAAATTACTTATAAGAAATTTCCCGATGCTATTAAAATAAATTAATTAATAAATGTGAAAGAAAATGTGTAGTTTTTTTATTTAATTGAAACATATATGTTAAGTAAAATTATAAATAGCCTCAGACTTCGACACATTCTGTGAAACTACTTAAGCTGGTCAGACTTAAGGTTCTCACGGGGGTGAGTACGAAGATGGCTATTTTCTGTGTTGTAGCTCCGTACAGTCTGGTAGAAGAAGTTTACCGACGTTTCAGAGGTAAAGGTAACATGTGCTAGTACATTCTTATTGATAAGACTCATGCTTCCACTTAATCTAAAATGTATAACGAAGCAAAGTTATTTTAAGTTTATACACGAAGGCTAAACAAATCAGATTATGAAACTTTCTTTCACGAGTATTTAAGATAAGCACAAAAAGATGCTTCATCTGTGATACAAAGTGATCGTTAAAGCTGTCCTATGCAAACAAAACCTTTGCTATTACCGCAACGCTTTTAAGCATAAAGCTCACCTTTATAACATTTAAATATTTAGTACCTGCTTCAGAGAAAACACAATGATTCTTTATTGCAAAGATCAGTTAAGTGGTTTATGCTGTTTACAGACATAAGAGCGCTTTGTCTGAGAATGATATGAACATCGTAAATACATTACCTGACCAAAATCAAGATTTGCTGAATGTGGAACAGTGTTTTACATACACTGCTTTAAAAGGCACTGGTTAGATCAATTTTTTTAAAAAAAGGGTCGTGATATCCGCTTATGATCTACTAAATTAAGGATATCATAATGATCTCGTCTAATTTACCGCTGTATGAAACTAACAATTTTCAAGTAAACCGCCATGGTATGGACAAGTTATCTAATTATTTACACAAGTTGATAAAGTATTATCCAGTGAAAGTTATTTATTAAAATACAGGAAATTATCAATTCCCTTTGGAATAACTTCTGCCAATTTTTTTTCGGTGGTCAGGGCCAAAATATCCCTCAAAGCTTTTACCGCATACACGAGTGACTACCTTTATTTTGAACGAGTGTGTGCATATTTATTTGTTCACCGCTTGGGGGTCTTTTGTTATTATAACAATTTATTTCCGGAAGATAGTTCGTTACAATTCAAATCATTCCAAACAGTTTATCAAGGTGTTTTGATAAAGCTTTGTCAAACGAAAAGAAAATAAACAAACAAGCACCCAAACCAAACAACCAAAAACTTACAATTTTAGTTTCGTAATATTTGCTCATGTTACTGGCATAATAACAATGCTATTCATTATACAATATTTCTCGTGACAAACAAATATTATGAGCTGTTTATAAAAATTTGCATTACTATATTTTAATACGAAATCTGCTGGAAATTATTTTGCGCCGAGGACGCTAAAAGGACTGTATATAATTAAAATTCTATAAGAGCAAGAAATCGACTTTTATCTTTCTAAATCTTTGGCCGAGAAGTTTAAGTGTCCACGATTGAAAGTAAAAATAGCGGGGTGAAAATGTCGATGTCGATTTCTCGGTCTGTGGAGTCTTTTGAACTTGTAACAGAAAGATGCACCCTCCATTTTCAGGGCTAAAGATGGAGCCGGTTTCTTGCTTCGTGACTTTGGAACCAACCTAAAAGACTTAGCGTCTTCACACCCCAGAAAAGCAACAAAGACATTTTTACAGCCATATTTTCGAATGCTGCCCAGAGTATGAAAATTTGTGTGCGGCTAAATCCCTGCAAATCACCATCTACCACAATAATCACCAACATTTTCAAGTTAAACTGTGGACTGTCCCACCACGTAGTCAACACGGCTTAAAAAACTACGGGATGTGATGTCAACGGCTTGAACCATAAAATATGTATATGATGAATACTGTAGAGCTTTCTGAGTATAGAACCCAGTCAAAATGAAAAAAAATCTCTTTAAACGTCGATAATACTTACCAGTTCCACAAGGTTCAATACGTAATAGATACTAATGGTATGCGTTACACACCAATAACTCAATTATTTCACATGCTTAAATCTTTGAAGTCGAAGGTCGTGTAAATTATATTTAAAAATTCAGTCCTTACCGCAAAGAAAACACTGCACTTCACCAATCATCATGTTAACGCTGTTTATATTGAGAATCATACAAACACACAAATAAAATAAGAAGGGTTACTGGCTGTTGAAGAAGGTGGTACATATACTTACCACTAGGTTTTAAAAGTTAATACGTTCTATATATAGGCTAATTACGTCCGGAACGAATTTAAATTATATCTACATAGAAACTTTTAAGGCAAATGCCTACCACTATCTTTACAGACATTAATCACTTAATTGTGTTCAAAACACAATCGTCCGCATCATTTCTCGTGAATATTTATTTGCGTTCTTCGAAAATACAATGCCATGTCTCTTGAAATGTTCACGACAGATTCTCCATTAATCCTCACTAAAGGAATAAATTACAATCGATACTGACCTTGAAATGACGTATAAAGCCGTTTATATAAAAATATAAGAAGCACGTGTCGTATTCGATTTTCATTAATTCCTTTGAAGAGGACAGTTCATTGTGTGGCCCTTATAATGAGTGGCCTTGTGGATGAGGAAGGGTGTAGCAAACAACCGAGTTTCTGAATACAGCAAATTTGAAATTATTTCGATTTTTAGAAACAAATTTAGCTTTTAGCAGTTTTATTAAAACAACAAATAGACACGATCGGAAGTAAAAATACAATAAAATTTATTCTAATAACATTTAACAACATAAAGTGTTCATGAAAAGTAATAGCAGAAAATAATTTATGGCTTTATACAAGGCAAACGCAAACAAACAAACGAAACCAAGTTGTAACTTTTTAGACCGCGACACATGCTAATGGATTATAAATGATGGTGATGATACTGTTATTTTGAATTACAGCGAAGTGTAGACTCGACGAGCATACTTCCTCTTGTGATAAGAAATTTTGTTATAAGTCGGCGTTGCTAAACGCTTCAAGAACAGAAGATACTAAGTAAGACTTGAGGTTCTCACAGCGATGAGTATGAAGATTTCCGTCTTCTGGGTTGTTGCGCTGTGTAGTCTGGTCGATGTTAACCAACGTTTCGGAGGTCATACTGCCTCCGTCATCAGGGCGACGGAAATCTTCATACTCATCGCCCTGAAGACGGAGGCAGTATGACCTCTGAATAGTTGGTGGACATCGACCAGACTACACAGCGCAACAACCAAGAAGACGGAAATCTTCAAAAGATACTAATTTCGTTCTGAAGTAATGTTCCGCGAATGGACACATGTTCTGCTCAAGGCACTGCTATCTCTTGAGCAATGACTTACCGTTTTATTTCCAAGGTTTCGCACCCGACAGTTGAGGTACGCAGACTTTCCTATTAGGGCGGTGACGTTTCCAGGGACCGTGGTGTCGAAGTAAGGTTCGTCTCTCCCGACGGAAGACGGCGGCGGCGGGAGAGGAGAAGGTGAACCCACTGGCTCCAGCGAGTTGTACATAGCTCCCGTCCCCTGACCATTCTCAGCTCCAACATAGGTCGATCCTGGGAAACAGACGCGCACAGTGTTAATTAAGGTCTATTGATGCAGAATGTGTAAGCTGACAAAGAACGTATAACCCCAGGGTGTATTACAACACAGCGATGCCATGAAATATTGATAGATGCATATCGTTGTACTCGACAGAATTGAAACACCCCGTGATACATGGATACTCACTCTACGTTACTGGCTTGGCTATGATTTCATTTTATGATCTTTAACATCATAACCATTCTACTATATTCTGATATTAACGTGTCCAGACATAAGAAATGATAAAACAATGAAGATGTGGAAGCGGTCGTGGTTAATTTTAAGTAGTGTTTCAGCATTATCTGCAGTTATTAAGGAAAACCACGAAAAATCCTGTCTATGAGCCATAACGAACCTTCAGAATTACTAGATTACATTACGTCATTCAGTTGTCTATTTCCGAAGACGGTTTACATAAAAGACATCTGGAGGTGTACAGTCAACACTTGAAACGTCTTCTATATGAGATACATATCAATGGACAACGCTCAGCACAAGATTAGTATACACGTGTATAAACATCGTCTGTGAAAATGGAACGTTGTATTTTGGATGCAATTTAATAAACACGGGCAAAGCTCTGAAATGACATTACAGTGCATTATATTGTGATTAGAGCCTACAATTCTATTTTTATCCCTGCTTCTTCGTCTTTGTTGATCTCTAATTAAAGTGACTCAGACTAACGCAACACATGAAAAACTTTAGATTGAAGAGATATTCATTTATCATATTCGTTCCTATACGGTTTAGTAAACTCAGAGGTCAGAAAGTATGATTATTTATTTTCTGCTACAATTGTAACAACTTAAAATTCAATAATAATAATAATAATAATGGCATGAGGGTTTTTAAAATGAGACGTGAGGTAAATTACTTTCAATAGCTGACGAAAAACTTAAAAAATAGCAAACTTAGTTTCAGTCTTGATTAAAGAATCTTTTGTTTCAAAGCACTTTACCACAAAAAAGCATATATAATTCAAATAAACTAATGCTGTTTAACAAAAAATTAATATCTTTATTTAAATAACATAATATTATTTCATGTCCCATAACCCCAAATATAACTTTAGATCGAGGTTATAACATCTGTACATAGCAGGACTTCTTAACACCATGGAAACGTTCATAATACAAACCCATAAAGCCTAAAATCCCTTACAGTAAATGATCACCATCATCACAAAGGTTACAAGAACACATTCATTAATTTTATCGCATAAGCCCCAAAATCCCTTAATAACGGCAAATATTAATGAGAAACCAACAAAGTTTGTTTGGATAGATATCCAAAATACTTTACTAGTAAGGGGCCATACAAGTAGGTGTTTTGCAACCTTACCTTGAATAATATCCTTAAATTTAATGTTTTATTACATATTTATGTACGCGCTCTTGTGTTTGCCTTTAAATTGAGACATATAATGCTTCCTCCATTACCAAATATCGAAGTTACATAATCAGATGTCTGATAATGGTGCCTTTGCGAGACCATGTTGCTAAGTTATGTCTCTAAGTCATATTCCACGCGTAACGAACTGTATCTTTAAGCCGGCATTTCTCGTTTCTTTACCCACTTCATCTATAAGGGCTTTTAGAACTGCTCTTTAGGAAAACATAAGACAGCCATCTCCCTAAATATCTCTTTGCATGCACTGACAGAATATATAATAAATATATTTTACTGCAGCTCGTAGATTAATGTTCATATTCTTTACGCTGTGTTATGGAGACCATCTTACCCATCTTACAATTACTATCTTACTCGTATAAGTTATTTTAATATTTGCAGTAGACGTTTGTCTAACGAGGATTTGCTTATATTAACAAGAGCAAATAAGAAGAATTACAGAGACGCGGAAAACTTAAAAATATGGTCACTAAAAATGCTCTAATACAGAACACGCTGATATACGATCTACTACAGGTGTACCATTTAAAACGCACCCCCAAAACAATCACGTAGTACTATGGCACAAAAACAAATCTAAACCCCCTCCCCTATGTTACAGTACTTTCGAACCTTCCCCGTGGAATTCGAGTGAAAGTCACCCTGGTTGGTAGGCCGCTGGTATAATGCCCTTTGTTTGGTTAGGTTAGATTAGGTTGCTTGGTTAGGTTATGTTAGTTTAGGTTAGGTTAGGTTAAGCCGGCTACACACGTACAGGTATACCTGTCAGGTATGCCTCAACGTGTAGATCATAGAAACTGTACAGTGTGGACGCAGTAGAGAATGAGGTATACCGAACAGGCATACCTGCTCAGGCATAACTGAAAGGTATACCTGTACGTGTGTAGCCGGCTTTAGGTTAGTTTAGGTTAGGTTAGGTTAGATTAGTTTAGGTTAGGTTAATTAGTTTTGGTTAGTTTTGGTTAGGTTAGGTTAATTAGTTTTGGTTAGTTTAGGTTAGGTTAGTTTAGGTTAGGTTAGGTTAGGTTAGATTAGATTAGTTTAGGTTAGGTTAGATTAGATTAGTTTAGGTTAGGTTAGATTAGATTAGTTTAGGTTAGGTTAGATTAGATTAGTTTAGGTTAGGTTAGATTAGATTAGTTTAGGTTAGGTTAGGTTAATTAGTTTTGGTTAGTTTAGGTTAGGTTTGTTTAGGTTTGGTTAGGTTAGGTTAGATTAGTTTAGGTTAGGTTTGTTTAGGTTAGGTTAGGTTAAGTTAGATTAGTTTAGGTTAGGTTAGATTAGTTTAGGTTAGGTTTGTTTAGGTTAGGTTAGTAAGGTTAGGTTAGATTAGTTTAGGTTAGGTTAGGTTACTTTAGGTTAGGATTCTCTTTCATATGAAAAACCATGCGTTTGCTCCTAGTCTTCCAACATTTCATCTCCCTTTCCCTCTTACATCAGTGTTTGTCTCTCTTATGCATTAAGTTAAGTTGAGTTTTATTGGTTTTGATATCTTTTGCTGCTAAGTAGGATTTGCGGTTGTAACGGCGGTAATTACAAAGACACCTGTCTTCTGGTTTATAGCGCCGTGTAGAAGTTTACCAACGATTCAAAGGGCCTTGCTGGCGATCATCGTCCTGAAGATGGTGGCAGCAAAGACCTTCATTTCTCCTTCTTCCTTTGTCTGTATCTCTTTCTCGTATTACTTCCCTCATACCCTCCTCCTTCTCTTTATTATATCCTCTTCTTTGCTTGTATTTAGTTCTCTATTTATCAGGTTCGCTCGATTTTTCGCTTACTTAACGGCGATATGTAACTTCAATGCAGCGAGAATGATTGGAATGACTGTGAGTGACTACAGCATGTGGAATGTGGTCGTAGTCTGTTTTATATTTCATAATTTACCTGGGGCGACTGATCAAACTTAAAAGCTGAGCCAACAGCGAGGATTCACCAGATTCGAACGAGGTATCTCCTGAATACAAGACCAAGGCTCTAAAACATTGTTAAAATTCTGCATAAAAGTTTCTAATATATTTCGCTAGAAAGATTTTTGTTATACAGTGCTGCCAATGTTTGTTATTTACGCCCCGTCCTATAAATTACTGTTCTAGGAAAGTCTTGTGTAACTTATAATGATCTGAAGGAATTTGTATGGCTTTGAATAAACAGCAAAACATTTCCCATGGGCACGTGTGACGTTTGTAAACAGAATGTTTCTTTAACGAGACAATACTCGCCATATTAATTGCACTTCCGGGATTTCTGAAGTTCACAACTAGATGGGGGGGCAGACAATCGTTCATTTTAACATGACAGTAGCTAAGCAGAATAAAGAGACTTTGTATTTATCTCGCAGAGTAGCTGAAAATTATAAAAGTTAGTAACTACGCCATGACAAAAGCACGTGTTATTTGATAAGATTACGGGTGAAGCAGATTGAGTATAAGTAGACAACATTTAACAAACTGTCATCTTTACTTTGGAGAATATTTTTACTCCACAGAAGGCACAATGAAGCTTTTGTCTTCTTTGCAAGAAGGACTAAGGGGGACTTTCTATAACATGGTACAAATGCTACAGGTCTATCCACTGAAATGCTTAAGAAATTTGGATTAAATTCAGTATTTAATTTTACGATGTGCCGTAAACTGTCCGGCGAATTTAATATTGATACGTAACTGTCCAACACAAGACCTTTGACAAAAGTCAAATCAAATGTTATTGATTTCTTAGTTCCAAAATTTATACCCTTCACCAAATATTATTACGAAAATCATGGAGAGTAATATGAGCAGTGTACTTAGCACGCATGGAAAACAATATGAATGAAATGATGTTCGGAAAGCTTGAAGGGAAGTACTACGGAAACTTATACGAAAATTAGTCGATAATATTAAAACGAATCTTAAGGCAAGAGGGTGGGATATTGTGGACTACATTCAACTGGTTCAGGACATTAACCAATGGTTTGCTTCAAAATCCATGATTCAGTGGCTCTTCATTTGTTTACAGATATTTATCTGGTCAATAAAATCTGTAAGTCTGTAATTCAAGGCATTGCTATTGCATGTCTCAGGAAACTGAGGGACCCAATGACAATTCTGTCACGACAGTCCATAGGCCAGCCGGGATTCGAATCCTGTATCTCACGAATGCATGTCCAGGGCGTCAGTGTCTCTTCGGGTCGCACGTCTATGAATCTCACGAATGCATGTCCAGGGCGTCACTATCTCTTCGGGTCGCACGTCTATGGTTAATTAAGAACGTGAGGTGGAATTTTAATGATGAAAATTGTTCAAACACCATGCATAAAGATTCAGTTCCTGAGCATGATACGATCCAGGGTTTCAGTGGTATCAACTTTATCCACCTTGATTACGTTGGGAGGACCTTAGAATAGTTGGTAATAACGCACTGAGGATCTCAGAAGCAGATTATGGAGAAATCTTGAGTAGAGGAAGTTTATTTAATAACATAAAAAATTACGAAGTAGTGGAATACGTACTATTTAAAAGCTTTACAAATCAGTTTCTCAAGAAGATCCATGACGTTAGTTTACTGCAGTTTCCGGTTT